AACCACTACGCTACCAGGGTAAATCTTTGACTCCTATACCATATTCTGTGTAACTGTTATTCTGTTGATGGACGTCTAAATTTCCACATTTTGGTTTTGTTGCAGTGAACACTGGTGTACCGGTTTCTGTTTGTGTTCCTGCTTTCAAGTCTTTTGAGTACATGCTTAGGATTCAAATTGCTGGCATTTTGAGGAACTTCCAAACTCTTTCCAACAATTGTTGTTGTTAAGTGCTGTCGTGTTCTGACCCATAGTGACCCTGTATAGGATTTCCAAGTAGCAACTGGTGAGCTTGAACCGCCAACCTGGGGGTTCAAACCGACTTTTCAGTTCTGCGCATTAGCCCAGGGTGCCATACCTTATTTCCACTAACAATTAATGAAGGTTTCCCCCTCACCCCCCGCCAAAAAAACCCCAGTTATTTTCCATTGCTTGATGCTTATCTTCCTAGTGGGAGTGAGGTACTATGTTATTGTTGCTTTGATTTACATTTCCTGAGGAAGATCTGCTTCTGTAGAGATTATAGCCTAGGAAACGCTATGGGCAATTATATCTGTAGAGTCACGATGAGTCCGAAGTAACTCAACAACAAACAACAACCAATACTAAGGGTACCGAGCATCATTTCATCTGCTTCCTGGCCATTTGTGTGTCCTCTTTGATGAAATGTTCAAATTCTCTGCCCATTTTTTTTTTTTTTAAAGTTTTTTTGTGAATTATATGATAGTTTACATGGGAGAACTTCAGTTTTACATTCATTCCGTCGTATATCATGTCACTGCCATGGTTCCAATCCCCTCCATGCATCATCAACCACCCAAAGGGTATATCCCAGAAACCCACCCCCTACACTCCCTCCCCCACCCCCCTAGTTTTTGGCCCACAGTCCCTTTCCCTCTCTGGGTCCAAAGTCCCCAGCCGTTTCATCACTCCACGTCATCACTCCATGTTCACTTTGCCGATAAAGTCCTTTGATGAACAAAACTGTTTTATTTTTATGGAATTTCATATTCATC